AATATCTCTTTGATGAATTATATATATATATATATATTTTTTTATTTTCTACTTTTTTTAAACTTATAATTTTTAGATATTAATCAGAACTTACACTTCGAGATAAGACCCATCTTCCAAATGCTGAAACATCACCTTACGAACTTTACTATTATCAAAGCTTTTATCAAAATAATGGTATGTAGTTGTCACCCAGCCACAGTAAACATGGTTAGGGTCTTGCCCTGGGAAAATTCTTACACCATAGAAGTATTCATCAAGTAATTCAAGCCCCACATTTGCTATTTCGTGGTCAATAGTGTCTTCTGGCTCTTGAACAACAGGACGGGACTGCCTCCTATTAATATTTGTAGCTCTTTCAGGGGACACTATTCCCCCTGACACAATGCCTCCACAGGTGAGACTAGTTGGTCGATCAGGTACAGATGGTGCCCCAATATTAGAAGAACTGCTGGCAGACAGAACTCGTACAACCGGAGCTCGGACACTAAGAGAGGCACTTGTGGGAGAAGAAAGTGGTTTACTTCCTTCTGAAGGAAGGTCATAACCATACTGCTTGCTCTGGTCTAATCCTCCAGTACGTGTTGAAGCACTTTTTGCTCTCCTCTCCAAGCCTTCCTTTTTCTTTGAAAAGAAGCGGAAGGGAGAGCGGCCTCTCTTTTTCTGTTTATCATCCCTGAAGCTTGAGGAAGGCTCAGGTGTGGCACTTTTCTTTATACCCTTGTCTAAGCCTTTCTCGTGGAGTGCCTCTTCACTGGATGCAGCTCTCAATTTTGAAGAATCAGGGGTTCTTTCTCCAGGTATAGAGAGGTTTGTCATTGTTAAGTCAAAGGATTGGGTTTTATGCAATGCACTCTTGGAGCCAGCTCGTTGTGGTGCAAGAGTTGTTTGTGTGGGTTGTGTAAGGTGTTTACTGTGATCCACATTAAGTGATTTCATAGTTTCAACTGTTTCCACATCGTCAGAGTAGCCTCGTTGCAAGTCTGTAAAACAAATGTTGAGATTCCAAAATATAGTTAAAAGATTTTGAAAACTATGATAGAAATTTGAAAGAAAGACAAAATTCTAACAGAGTGCATCATGGTTATTGCTACTAAAATAAATTTAATAATGATATGAGGTCTAATTTGAGTCAAAGTAAAGGATCAAATTATGCACATATCTAAGAAGAATTTCAATAAACAGAATTCCAATCATTTCATTTTTCTATAAAGATTTAATTAAACTAAAACAACGTAAAAAATTAATAATATGCATAATCCCATGTAAGTTATAGGTAAGAGGCATGTACCTCAGTTTTCACTAAAGAGGGCTTTCCCATCACAATTGGAAAGCAATAATTTTGAATTATAGGGTTTGTTGCTGCAGAGCATGTAGCAATCATCCTCCAACCCATACTTTTAGAACCATGATTAAACCTTTAAATAGAATTACTAGGTTAGAGAAACATGTAGTGTTTAAACAAAGAAAATATTTTGGCTGTTCTTTTTCCCTTTGAAGAAGCAACTTTATGGTAAGGAATTAGATAAGATTTTCCATATCTCAAAGGACTAATATGAATGATGAAACAGTTCAACAGTATTCACATGGTATCTTAAATCTTTATACAATAAAGTTATTTCCTAATGATATAATACCCAAATTATTCACTTTTATCTTACTTAAGATCAATGATTTAATTCAATTACTCATGTGTTATGCAGGCAGACTATGCATTTTTGACTTTATTCTAATGTAGAATTTTTCAAGAATTGTCAGTTATTTAAGTGTATTTGTAGTTTTTCCCACAACAAGTAGTCAAAGATGTTGTTAAGTTACTATTACACCTAGCTACCTTGTCACTCCCCAGAGATAACATCTGGTCTGTTCATGGGAAAAATAGCTTTAAAGTTGCACCTTATGAATGCAAGTGGACAACCATTTTCTATAATGCTAGATCAGGTGATGTCTCAAAGCTACAACCCCCCATCATGTGGGTAGCACTATATATCCTGGCAAGGTATGGCACTATAGATTTTAAATTTATAACATGAGGCCTTTTAAGACTGGAAGAGTTACCTTTTGTAGAGGCTATTCCAATGCAACAGCTTAAATATATATAACAGATCTTCAATTATCCAGTAAATGTGATTGTCCTTTGTGTTACAACAATACACACACTGTGTTTGTATTTAATAAAGATTGTATTCCTGTATATTTGTGCCCAATCTCTTTATTTCTCACTTGTACAATTAGGCTCAGAGAATTCAGCATTATTCTGAATAAAAATCTTCTCAAATCTCTTGTTATTCTGTGGGCCTATCTTGTTGCTCTATGGGAAATCAGACTGACATGAAAATACCACTCTTTTTAAGAATTAACAATAAAAATACAGGTATAAATCACAAAGATCATTTTATATAAATGCATAAAAAAAGGGTAACTTAAAAGCAATATGTTAACTACAAACAGGTGTGATGTTTATAAAAACAAAGTTATGAGATATCATTGGAAGTAATTTTCATTTTGACATAATTAGTAAACAAGGCACACAAAAGGAGCTTTATTGAAAGGAATTAACAAATTTGAACATCAAAATTATAAGTTATACATTTACTATGTGTACTAAACTTCAAAATTTGACAGAAATAAAATATATTAAAAATGAAAACATTATAATTACTTACAGATTTGCACAGTGATATATCTTAATTAGTTCTACATTGTGAACTTCTTTCATAGTATTTTCATTGATTTACCTTTGATGTCTGATAAACTGAATCCACTCTTCAACATATGTTGCTCAAGGTTGGCTACAAGTTAAAGAAATTTATTATCAAGAAAATTTATTATGATTTAATGCCTTAACAAATGTAGCAAATTAAAAACCCACAAAAAAGTTTTTTTTTTCATATTTATGGGCATTGAAATTAGAATATTCACTTACATGAAAAACATAAATAAATAAATTAGTACTGTTTATAAATGTTTGGTATGAAAACTTTATCTAGTGAAATGAGAAGATAAGTAGCTAGAAAACAAAGCTGACCAAAATGAGAATTTTTTTATTTATTTTTGAAATGAGATTTACAATGATCAGAAACAACAAAGGTAAAATGAATTTGTAGAGAGCTACTGTAAATAAAACTTAAAATACGTTAGCTATATACAGACAGAGTAAACCAAAAGCTGAGTGATAACAAAAATCATATTATTTTTTGTCTTAATGATATGTTAACTCTAGATTAGTAGTTCTCACCATTTTAGACTCAGGACCAATTTGTAAACATTTATAGCCAATCACAACCCAATAAATAGCTTTAAAAGAAGACATCTGGGTTACTTATTAAATAAAGAAGTAAACTGTTATTTATTTTCAAATTCTGTTGTGGTCTTTGCTTGCACATTCTGATGACTAATTTTGTTTTGCTTAAAGTGGAAGGGAAAGACTACCTGTGTTTTTTTGTGGTCTTCATATGCTCATAAGTGAGAAATATAAATCTACAAATTACTTTTTTCAGGTGGTAGTTCCTTTAGTTATTTAGAATTCAAGAACAAGGGAAAGTAATGTTTTGCACTATAGCAAAGTCTGTCCATACATAATTTAAAATAGTGTTGTACTATTATTTTAAATACCTCAGTGAGAATGACTGTAGAATTTGCATAATATTAATTTAGACTGCTAATTAATGTACATATCTATTTGTTTAATCTTGAAGTTAGTGGATCCTAAGTTACTAAGGAAAATAAGTAAACAAGAGAATGAGGAACACCAAGTGCTACAACTAATCTCATAATTCTCTGGTTCTGCTGTGACTGAGACAACAGAGTTATAAAAAGTCACTTACATGCATGAAACATAAACAAATTATTTGCTTTCTTAATGATTTATCATTATAAACACAAGCTCTCTGTCTTACCCGGATGACGAATGCCAGACTTTTCTGCTAAAGCTCTTCTCTGTTTACGCTTCATTTCCTCTAATCTATGACTTTTTTCCGTCTCACTGAAATGACATATAAGAATTAGTCGAGAAAGAATAATTTTCTCTAAACATTTTCAATATTTTTAACATTTTGATTATTATGTGTTGTAGTATCTACACTGGATGAAAAATTCAATTTAAACTGCAAATTTCAATACTGTTTTTCTGCCAAGCAAGTGATATTTTAAACACGTTTCAAGTTAATTCACTAATATACTGAAAAACATTACACTGTTATGCATTCTTTCTCTGAGCAAGACTTTTTCTAAACTCTTTTAAATGTCCTTTGCTCAAAAGATAATAGATAAGCAATCTCACAGATTTTGTAGATTATGCATTTGTTGTACAGTGCCCTGACATAACAAAATGATCAGTCTTGCCAAAGAGTTAAAATTGATGATACTAAACAGCAATACAACACAAGCATAAAAGTGAGCAGAAACAGACCCATCAGTAACTGGTAGCTTTGCTATGGAGGTATTGTGAGTACTTCAGATAATTCCACTGTTTTAGGAAGTACTCATATTCATATAACAGGTCACTCTGTATTCTATTGTAATTGTAAACTAAAAAAAAATTATACTTTATAAATCTAAGTCTGCTAGCGTATACAAATTAATATAAATAATTTCTCTCAACAGATTTTAATTTTCTAAATTCATGGTAACATTCACACAGTTACAAACACTTTCTAATTAGCAATGTCATAAAATCACATTATGAAAACCAAAGTTTTAAAGTGACCCTCAGTGGCTCTGGGGTAAGTCTGTAGGCTTAAGATGCTAAAAATTGGGTTTTGACACCTATGATGGGCAGAACACAAATAGCCCATTTCTTAGCTTTGTGCTTAACAGCAACCAAATCAAAAACCAACTAATAATAGCTTTAATGAATTTAATGCTAAAAGTTTATTCACTAAATAAGTTACTCATACATAAATTTCTATTCATTATTTATAGAAAATTTGTAGCTAAGTTTCATGTAACTATTGCCTACTTACTTGATGAATTCATCATGACAAGTAACAGGCAAACTTAATCGCAAAAATTCCCAGTTTGCTTTCTCAACTGTCTCAAACATTTTGTGAGATATCTTCAGGGCTGGAGGAGAGTCACTTCTACATTCAAAGAAATAACTAAGTAATTACAGAGAAATACACAATCTAATGCAGATTATATGTAACAAAATCGTATGTGCAATTTATATTTGACAAACATGCATTACTTAACAGATATTATTATGGTCCAATTACTTTAAAGGATTAAACAAAATTTTAGTATAGATAAACTTCTCAGATAAAAGCATAACACTAATAGTAAGCAGTATATGTTTGTATCATGTAATCTTTTTCTTTTTTTGTCAGAATTTCTAAATAATCTAATAACTGTATTACCATATCAAAATATTCAGAAAACATATAACATTAATATAATTTTTCACATTTTCTTAGCTTTATTTTTAATTACTAAGAAGGTTAGTTTAAGTTAAGTCTTGAAACAGCATGTAAGAGGACAACTCTCTAGCTCATGGTAATTGTTAAAGAGTAAGAAACTTATGATTGCATTAACTCACATTTATCTAAAGACATAGTTAAAACTGTTCAACAGCATAACAGAACAACTATATATGTAAGTTATATAAGAGTACTTGATGCATAAGTGAATGGATGATGCAATATTTTGTATGATGGTAAATTATCTTTAAAATTTAAAGCTTACTTGTAAACCTAGGTATTATGACGAGCAATAAATTTTTGATCTCATAATTCTGTCAATCCTTTAAGAATATTAAAACAAAGATATGAATTATTTTTTACGTTTTTCAGAACTAAAAAGCTTTACCACTTCTGTAGCTTAAACTTTTTATAGTGATTAATCTGAACAAACCCTGGTGGTATCCTTGTTACTTCCACATGAGAAGTTACAGATTCATCTATGTTTATGAAAAGTGGTTCATCTTTGCTGTACCAAAATGCCATTTGTCGATTCATGTTTCTAAAAAATATAAAACTGACTGCATAAACTAATAACTAGACATATAAAAGGACAGCATTTGTGAATTAATTTAATTCTTTTCAATTCTTCTACCTTACAGTTTTTCCTTTTAACTTCTTCAAACAATTGAATTTTTACACACACACACGTGTATATGTATCATATAGGAATGTTTATATTTATTTTCATTTACACAAAACTGAAGTTAGTTGATCTGAAGTAACTAGAAAAAAGAGACAAACTAAAGAATGAGGAATGTTAAATGGTAAAATTAATCTTAGCATCTTATATCTCAATATGTCATCTTTAAAATCTAAAGCTTACTTTTAAACAGTAATTTTTTTTACTTTATAATTCTATTTGCCAATCGATTACGAATAATAAACAAAAGATGTGAAAAAAGGAGAACTCATTATTATTAAATGTATGATGAAAACTTTTTTTTCCAAATTTTCTAAATAATTTAATAACTGTATTACTGTAAGAAATTTTAAAGTCATATAACACAAATATCATTTCTAAAATTTTCTAAGCTTCATTAGCAATGATAAAAAATATGTTAAATTAAAGCAGACTACTTTTCAAAGCATTCCTTGAAACAAAAAAAAGGTGATTATATTCAATTTTTAAATATACCTTGTAGTTACTGGCCCTAAGTTAGATTAATATTCTATATAATAATAAAGAGTCTATAAAGAGCACAAAAGAGGTATACTTAAAATCAGACACCAAATATGACAGTTTTAAGCAGACTACAATGTGGCTATTGGCTTCTATGAAAAAAGTTTTTTAAACAATTTCTAAGGAATATTTATGCAGTACTGGTCAAGTTTAGTTGCTAAAGTATATACAAAGAGTGATGGCATAGCAAAAAATTAAGTTATTCAAACTTTTCATTACCTCATCTATTTACATCTTTAAGCTGTAATAATCTTATTGAATAACTATCAAATACATTTCTTTAGTAGAGAAATGATGAATATACATTAAACCAAGATAACCACGAATGTTTTATGTGATATAAGTATCAAACTTGTAGTTAATACTCTAAATTCTCAAATTTCTAGTCTCTTCTGCAAAGATTTACTTCTTATATGATTGGTTACAGGATAGCCATTCAAAACATGATGTTTCATTTGAATTTTCTTATCATATTAACATACTGAATATAATCTAATTTCTGATATACGTATCACTATTCATTAGATCTGGATTCATTAAAAGGTAAATTTTATATTTCCTTGATTCAGAAGCTCTAATACTTCAAAATAAGTTGCATTTAGCTCTATCTACAAGAGTTCAGTTTTCTAAATCTTTTATTACACTTGCCATTATTCCATTACAAGACTTAATCAGCAAAATTGCAGTACTCGTTGACAAATCATTGCTTCCACCAATTTTTCTTTGTTTTATGTAAAAATATTTATAAATGCAAGTTTTTGATCCCACATTGAGTTATTGTAGTCTTAAAAAGTGAAATTAAATGATAAACTTAACATACATGTATTAACTTCTTCCTTAAATAATTTCAATAAACAGTATATAGAACTTCCATTAATATGAAGGATCTTGTAGAGCTTGACCCTTAAATATTCCAAAGGAATATCTCTGTTTTTGTTTTTAAACAAAAGAATATTAAATATTATCATTGGTCTAAGAAATGAGTGAGTAGTAAATAATACAGATTTTACTTGGTATGCAAGTTATAATTATTTTGTTACATTAAAACAATATTTTTGTCCACAGGCAACTAAAAATGCAAAACTTACACACAGAAAGGTTGGTAGCCTTCTTGTAGACCACAGGTAGTGAAATATCTCAAGGTGTTAACATCATGACCAAATATCAGTTTAGCTTTCTGTCCACTTCCAAGTGTACAAGCTGGTAGGTAACCTGATAATTTTTTACAATATGAAAATAAAAGTAAAAAAGTGTTTAAATTGTACTGTGTTACTCACTAAAGTAACGTGTAACATATAATAACTTATAATTCCTCAATTTCGCTCATGCACCATGTAGAACACCTCCATGGCCTTTCTCTATCTGTTCCACAGACACTAAAAAGAGAGTTTTATTTTCTTCCACTAAAATGAATAGCTGCAAAAGAATGTAAATAAAAGAAAAAAATGAAAGATGGAAGGGATTTCTTTAAGGAGACTTCCCTTTAATGATACCAAAAATATTACATCACACATCCACAAAATCATGTTCTACTTTCAACATTATAAATATTACTCTAATTGTGAGGAGCACTAAATCCTCAATATTATATCAAAAACTCTAGGTATAATGTGTGCAAATGCTACTAATAGGTAACAACAAGTACCATACAGTGATGTGTTCACGTAACAGACAAGAGTCTGGCATTTTTATTAAGCTTTTTATTAGCTATATTTTTGTGCACAAGCAATACCAATTATGGGACACACGTATACCTAATTTAATTTTATTACTCATCAGGATCTCTACCCTCAAATTGAAATTCTTTTAGGCAGGATTACAGTAAATTAATCTATGAGACCTTGGACGTGGTCAAATACATCAATTGAAAGGGTTTGACCTCCCGAGTCCAAACCTTTAATTAGTTCTCAAATCAGTCAAGAAATGATGGAGCTATAAATAAGTTTGTACTTGAAAACTCAGAGCCATTGAGCTGCTATGTCACAGCTAATGATTAAAAAATGCTTACTTTTGTTGTAGATATAAATTACTAATTTTTATGTTTTTCCTACATTTTATAAACCTGTAACTTTTGTCTTGCTTTTTTTCAAAAAACACAGCATGAAGTATCACTGTGTCAATTATTACTGAAATGCAATAACAAAACATTTTAACATACCAAAATTACAAGAAAGTCATTAATTGTTAATCAGATAGTTTCATTTTATACATTTAATAAGTTTTAAACCTATTTCATATTCATTCATAGATATTTTTTACATTTATTTTCAGTGATTTTCTTTTTTCATGTAAACAATTACTTAGGCTGATAAGGCCTCATGTAAACATGGCCTAATAAACAATAGACAACTGCCTTGTCTGAGAAAAACAAAAATTGATACAGTTGAATGAAAGATAATCTAACTAAGCCTAATCATTCTCAACTTGATTTTGTTTCACAAAAAAAACAACATTCCTATCATACTGCAATATCATAAGCTTATTATGATAAGGCAAACTTTTCACAAGCTAAAACAAAATCAGGAATGTAACTGTGGTGGAAGCTGTTCCCAAACCACTTGTTTTTGTCACTTTATTACAATTTTTTACACAAGTATCCAGTGAATTTGAAGCCATATTGGCTTATACAATTAAAAAGTAAGCTTTAATTATGTGTTTAGACCACTAGCCTATAGATTTTCAAACCTCAGATATAGCAAGTTACATAACACCATGACAAGTGAGATTAAGAACAAGCAATTGGCTAAAACTGATAAAACTACATTGGTACTGAATTAAGAAGGTCCAAATGAAATAAATTTACAAATATTAATGTTTTATTTCAAAGCATGCCAAAATCAAACCAAAATAAATTTTTTTATCTTTAAAATTTAATAGATAAAACTTTTTGTTGAGCTAATTTCAACTCCAATTACAAAAAAAGTTTATTATCCCCAAATTGTTAATTTAATGGTTCAATTTTGACCCTGGCAATGGATGCATCCCTCTGGCACAAAAGGGCTGTTGAAGTTAGTGCAGCTACTAAAGAATTTTAGTAAACAGCTTAAATCCAAAAATTATATATATAAAATAAAGAAAAAAAATATATGAAAAGCTAAAAATTAACAATGACTGGAAAATTATTACAGGATTTTAGAACAACTACAGAAACAAATGAATACACTAATTTCCTTTAACATCACTAAAGAGGATTGATATTCTGTGAAGTAATTTATAATTAAAATAAGTAGAATCTATATATTAGTGACATCTAGTGCTCCATACACCAAGGCAAAGTAAACAGTAAAACAATGGTAGGACAGTTTACACTGGAGTGTAAATATATTTAATAAAAAACAAACAACTTTTTCCAAATAAAAAAAAAATATTTGCTGAACACTTCACCAAGCTAGTTCTTCAAAACTTTAACACCCTAGCAACCAGAGTAACAGGCTCAGAACAATGATATGAAAAATAAAACCATTATGTTTATATTTCAATTAAACACATACCTTCACCTAAAGGAATGTCAGCAAATGCAGTCTCTCCACCCATTGCATCAAGTTGTAGTTCACCATTCAGGGTAAAACCTAAAAATTGACAATTTCGTTTACAAGAGTTAAGAAACACACACAAAAGTAGATATTACTTCTATAAAATAATCACATAAACAATTTATATTAAACAGATTTAAATTCCAAACACGCACAAAAATGTTAACCATCCTGAAGAAAAAATTTTTAAAACATAATACTGTATCAAAGCTAGACATATTCTATATTAGCAGTTGCCTTCAGAGTGTTAAAAAATAGCTTCTTAGCTGATACTAGTAAAGTAGTCTTTCCATAAAAACAGTGAGCCAAATGTTACATAATAAATTCCTAAAAACGTTTTCATACTTTTATATTAAACTCTTCATTCTTATAAAATATTTCAAAAAACTGTATCAAAGTTCATGTTTTATGGAACTCAAATTGAGACATCAAGTTTGAGGTATATGAATAAGAGAGGGTTCATAAAGTAAGATTTTACTTTCCATTGTCCAGCAATATCAGACTACAACCACCTGTAATGATCCAGCTCCCACTTTACTTATCAGATGTTTACTTTAGTCATGTGACTAGCTCAAAAATTATTATTCAAAACATCAGCTGTTACATAATGGGCAATAATAAACCTGGAATTATGTTAAAATAGAACATTCTCCATTTCATTGTCGTGACATTTGGCATGCTGAATTTTAGAAAGCTTCCTTAGAAGTTGTCTTCATTAACAGCTTGATTAATCACATGTCCAAAACCTATTTTGCCTACAGATATGACTATGTAATTAAATTGCTGCTAGTACAAGATGAATATAGAACGTTTGATGGCTGCAGTTTACTCACATCCAGCAGGTTGTATAAGAAATTCTATTGCTTTCTAAATACTTCTAACACAATGTTATTTTTCAGTCAAACTATAACCTAATTGCTTTTAATAGAAAAACACTATACTTTTGCATCAAATACACTTCAAAATTTGCTGCCTAGTATAAACTTACTGATAGTACGATCATGAAGATCTAACAGACATCCAACAACATCACCCACTTGCCACTGTTTCCCATATGGCTCTGATCCTTCAGCATGGTTTCTACGAGCCTTGTAAAGATACACCATAAATAAAGTCACTAAGAGATTAAAACAGCATAAGTGTACAAATTCACCTTAAAAAACGCATTAAAAAATCAAAATAGGCCAAACACTAAATATGTACAAACACACCAAAAAACGCATCATTTAAAGATTTAAATAAATCAACAGTGCAGGTATAAATATGCTATTAATGTCACTAAAAGACTAAAATGAGTCACATGATATACATGTATAAATAAACCATGCTCAGTCATTATTAAATCAAAACAAGCCAAAAAACATAACCAAGCAATATATACTTACTTTTTTAGAGGTGTTCACCTAATTTATGTAGTTTTGAAACAGCTACTTGTGGGATGGTAGACTTATTTCTGTATAACATTTCATCTCTAACAATGAAACATGATCATATACAACATTTAAGGTACAAGGTATGTAGTACATTTTTTTGTGTGTGAAAATGTTAGCAGTTGAAACTATAGCTTGCAACTTTATTTATGGTCAAAACTGCAGCCAGCATCAAGTGAAAAAGGTAATACTAATCTTATTTCATATTTTTCAACTTGTATTTCACTGTACATTGATTGTGTTGCTGCAGTTAGTGTCAGAATTGAGAAAATAACAGATAAATTATAAAGTTTTTCCAAAAATAAAACTTTGGATGTTCATTAAGGAGGTTCTAGAGGTTATGTGAATGAAATACAAAAACTGCAAAATGAAAAGAGGCATTTTTACTCTTAGTATGAAAATCACCTTTCACTCAGACTGACTCCATGAAGTCTTCAGAAATTCCTAAAACAATCTTTAATAGAAATAATGTATTAAAATATCTGATTTTTAGTGTACAAGGCTTTCAATGTTTACTAAAAGCTTGCCAAATTTCATGAAAATATGTGTAGTAGATTCAGAGCTGTAGTATGTTTAGCTTTCCAGAAATAGGCCCTGTCTAAATGACCAACACTCCTCTTAAGGTGTTAAATAAAAATTATCCCCAAGATCATATCAAAAGATAATGCAACCAGAATGTAAATATAAAAACCTGGAAAATTCTAAGTGGATTTAATAATTATAATCTGATGTGCGTGTATATATATATATATTAGAACTGAGGCTACCATGAAGAGGTAATAAATAGAATATTAAAAAAACTGATTTGAATGGAACCAGCACAGTAGCTAGATATATTTGTAGATTGTGTAACAATAAAAATAACCTCACAGAAACCAATAAAAATATAAAAGTTGGAAGACCTTTAATAAAAGAATGTTGAGAGCATGGAGACAAATTGTACATGATACAAAACATTCTTTGAAGAGATGAAAATGTAATTAAGCATATCAATAAAAAGATATGAATAATTCTGCTTTGTTCTAAAATGAGATACCTTACAAGAAACATACCTAAAGGTAATGCATCGACTTAAAAAGATCAAAACATGAATTTAGAGTTAGCTTACCTGATAACCATCAAAAGCCCAAGAATTTTCATCTCCACCTATTTCACATGATGGAATAAATCCTCTAGAAGCCCACCCAATTTTCATTGGACCAGATGTCATAATTTCAAATTCAAAATACCTATATAAATTAAAACCTTGATAAATTGCTCTTAAAAATAAACTTTTAAAAGCTATTTTAAAGTGAAAAAATTAAGCAGTCTGTATTTTTACTGTGAAAATATTTTTTGTTCTAGAAAAGACAATTGTCAGATTTTGAACTAAACATTATTGCTGATTTCCCTGATACCAGTTATTACACTCACCATTACATTCAACACTGAACAGAAAATGCAAAAAGCTAATTTGTTAAGCCTCATATAACTACACGTGTAAAATGATTATATACTACTTTAAATGCCATAAAGGTTTACCATTTGCCAGAAGTGACAGCATAAGTAGTTTCTGCTCGGTATGTTCTTTGATCATACTTTGATTTTGTTGTGGTGCTTATCATACCTGTTTGTTAGAAGAAAAAAATCACCGATACAACATCAAAAACAAAATATCTTCCTTTAGGTCTAAAACTGATGATAAAAAAAATCTTAAAACAAGCATCAAACAAATCTCTTACTATTTCTCAGCTTAATGCACAATTTTAAAATTGGTATCTATTTTTACTTTATTCAGTAAATCTTTCAATCTTTAATTAATCAGTTATAATGCTTATTTAAATAAAGAAATCATTCTGGGAATTTGTTACAATAACTACTATTTGAAATGAAATCAGGAAATGGAGTGGATGGGTCCTCTATTAAACACTGTATTTTTATAGCACTTAGTAATGATCACATATGTAAATACTTTTTTCAAAGCAATATTTAATATATATAAATTGTGAATCATCTCTACAAACATACCTTCAGTGCTTTCTGCTGTGGGAGGCTCTAGGATGTATCCATAAGCTAATAATGTACGCACAGTCTCACTGGCAGTATCCCTAAAGGATTACGAAAATACATTTAGAAATTTAACCAGTCTGTGTTATTGATGTAAATGTCAAACACTGAAAAACATGATGTAAAAGGATTTGATAAAACATCATATTGAGAATTATAATAATACTAAACACATCATCACTCTATAATAGTATAATGAAACTCCAACTTCTCTTTGTCTGTTGTAGGTCACCGTCACTTAATTACTAGGGCTCATTGAGCTAGCTGACTTATAACACTTAAAGTTTTAGGTAAAGCATTCTTTTCATACATCAGATGGGAGACAATAATTTGGTTTGTGGATGTTACTAAAGCTGGCAAAACCTGATTCTTTCATCACTCTATAATAGTATAATAAAACTCCAACTTCTCTTTGTCTGTTGTAGGCCACCGTCACTTAATTACTAGGGCTCATTGAGCTAGCTGACTTATAACACTTAAAGTTTTAGGTAAAGTATTATTTTCATACATCAGATGGGAGACAATAATTTGGTTTGTGGATGTTACTAAAGCTGGCAAAACATGATCCTTTCACATAATCCATGATGTTACCATTTTCTCAAAAATTTATCAAAACACACTTATAAAATCAACAATGAAGTAAGACATAAAATCATTTGTGCTATTAAGTGTATACGTACATAAGATGTGTTTAAGCATGGGGTCAACCTTTTTTGACAAAAGATTTGTTCTATAATATGTTGGTCCAGATGTGTTCAAACTAAACAGAAAGACCACCTTTAAAAATAATGGTTTTCACACAAGACCCAAAACTCTATCACTTTTGAATAGCTCACTATTCTTCTCCCGAAGAAGAATAGTGAACTATTCGAAAGCATCAAGTTTTGGGTCTCATTTGAAAACCATTAGAACTTTTGTATGTGATCCTGTGTGCTAACTTCTTAATCAGTATTTAAAAATAAAATACTGTTCAGTTAATATTACTGTATTATTAAAAACTGTTTGTTAAGTAGAAAGTGAATATTTCTTACAGGTATTTTTCATGTGTTGAGTGCAATACTTGATACTGTAAGATTCAAAATAAAATCACCAGGCAGAAAAAAACTTTTAAATAATTAGAACAGAATGTTATTCAAAGCATCAGTTTAAGTACAAGTTCCACTCAGCAGTTTTTTTACATGCTTAATGCATAAACCATTTACACACCCTATAGAAAACATCGCATATCATTCTAGGTGTAACAAAACAGGGTTATTATTTCATGCTTATTGTGGAGTTTATTTATCATATTCCCTTTTTTTTTTGTGTGTGTGTGTGTGTGGGGGGGG